TTTTCTATGTAGCCAGTTGGTAATGGGCCACCGAAGTTGTTGCAAGAGATATCAAGAATTGACAAACTGGGAAATAAGTGCTTGGTCTTTGAACTGATAACGGGACCATAGAACTTATTGGCTCTTAAAACAAGCACTCTCAAATTTGGTAGCTTCTGAAGCCAACTGGGAAATGTATCTTTTAATTGATTGTTGCCAAGATTTAAAATCTGCAACTGCTTGCATTTGGACAAAGATGTAGGCAAAGGACCTTTTAGTTGGTTTCCACTGAGATTCAAATCACTAAGCTTGTTGTTTTTTGGAGTAATACACCCCCCTAAATGTATTTTTAGTTATTAGAGTCTTTTAGCCATATGTTTTTCTATGATTATATATCATTTGTTTTTGTTGAAAGTGCCCGCCATTTTATACCCTTAGTTTAGTTTTACGTCTATAGACACAAATGTTTGACTATATTAAAATAATATTTGGTCAGTAGTTGTATCTTATGTGTATTAAAATAATATTTGGTCAATAAAAGTTATGTCTCGTAATTAATATTTAATTGTTAATTTTGGGATATTATGTGTATGGACAAAAAAAATTGTCTTTTACTCTTTTGCAAGATTTATTATTTGTTGTCACCTTATGAATCACGAGTGTTTAACACAATTGATTTTTTTTTAGTTTGGATCAAACTTAAAAAAGATCTCATAAGAAATCTAATTATATTCCATCAAATGAATGCATGAAGTGATTTTTTTGTCGTTAAATTAGAATTTTGTTCATTACATGTATATATATGCATGAGAAATGTTAGTGACACTTTTTTCTAACATTGTTTTGCTTATACTTTTTCTTAGTGTTATTAGTATTTTTACACAGTGCATATGGACAGTTGAATAAGTTAAACTCAATCAATTCGGAGATAGTCCTATGCTTCATTGAAGCATGTGAAGGAATAAACCTAAGCTTTATTTTTGAACAGAAAACAAGTAATAATTTAATTTTAAAGATAAACCATAGGTTGGTTAATGCAGGTGAGGAGCAACCGAGTTGTTGGCGGTGGAATCTCTTTATACGTAAGTTGGGATTTCACAAATTTTAATTGATTCTGCTCTGATTTTACGAGGCATATGGAATAGACAAGACAAGCTTAGCTAAAACAAAAGGCATGGGAAGGACACATGTTCAGGATCACTTTATTTCCCCTTGTCGTGAGGGTGTAATAAATGGAAAATTAGAGCCACTGCTCCATCTCTGCTTCACTTTAAATATCCATAATTATTTCTTTCGTCAGAACCATCATTTTTCCTGTCATAAAATAACAAATTATTAAATGCTTATTACATTGAGAAAATCACACTAATTCTCTCCTCAGGTTAGTAAAAATATGTCTAAACCTTAGCTCTAAATTTCAACGTATCTCGCACATTTTTTAATTAATAATTTAATAGTAGAGTAAATTAGATAATTGGTATTTCTATGTATTTCTTTTTAAAATAAGTTGATTAAAACCATTTTTTTTCGCAACTCTAAAATTGCTTTCACTTTTTTAGAAACAAAAATAAGAAATAAGTAATAAAAAAAGAGCTACAAACTGAGGGGCTTACAATAAGGAAGAGTAAACTGAAAATAGTTACGGGTTACGGAAATAAAAGATGCCAGAAAAGAAAATGCTGAATCTCCTTTAAACATTGTTCTAGATTATTATTATATAATTCATAGATAGTCTTGTATTTCTATCTGAAAATAACAAGTGTTAATATGTTAAAAAGACGCATAAAGTGTGTAAATAACAATATTTTAATCAAATTATCACTTAAAGAAAAATCATATATAAATGGTCCGTATGATTATCCCTTATATTTATTACAACTGCTGTTCCGATCTATCTTATATAAATTCCACTTCTTTGATGTACTAATGATATGTAAGCTTTTACACCCTGGCAAATATAGAATACGTAATTTAAAATTCAAAGCCATAGATGTATTTCATACGTTATCACAATCGTTATTGATGTACCTAATAACACCTCAAATTTTAAATTGCGCAATCTGAAAATATACTTGGGTTGAACAAACTACAAAGACACAGTACATCAGATACACAATAAAACAAAGTACAATCAGTAAAGATGTACTGTGTTGGTGTGACACAAGCCAGAACTTTGATTGTGTGTAAGTAAACGTTACACATGCGCTTTGTCATCACACAAGTGCTTTGTTTTACCTTAACTCGAGTTGAAAGATACACTAGAGTCAAAAACATGTGTCATTCGAGTCTCAACTTCACTCTAGCACTAAATAATTTACAAGATTAATTCAATTTGGTCTCTGCACTAAATAAGAAATAAATTAAATCGAATTAAATGCAAACCTGACCCTGTGTTAAACAAAAATTTAGGATTTCTTTTTCCCTGCAAATTTGTCTGTCTCAACTTTTAACCCATTGTTTTTATATTCAAGTGGGAAAAAGCAGGGCACACGAATTGGATTCTCATACAAAAGACCAATTTATGAAAGAGAAAGCCAAGCAATGAACATTGTTATCTTCTCCAGTAAGCACTTTCCATGCAATGGCTTGGTCATATGAAACATGCCTCCCCATGGTGGACATGCAGATTCCAGCTGGCAGATAAGCAAACCCCTGATGCAAGAATACATTATATAAGTGAACTTGTTACTTCAATATTTTGTGATCACAGGTCAAGTAAATAAAATAAGTGCGTTTGTGTGTTTAGAATTTACCTGTTCCATTAACTTGGCAAAGTCTGAACACAATGCCTTGCGTCCAGACTCATCAAATATTTTATCCAATGTGATGTCTTGTAGAGCCACTAGAGTTGTTTCCAACATGTCTAGGCCTGCTTGATTTGCAAATATGAACACTGGCAACGACTGCAATATCAAAAGGAGAAATATCACATTAGTCTCACGTGAGAAAGAATTAAATGGCTATCATAAAAATTACGCCTTGCAACTTCCTTCATGATCAAAAGGGCCACCAACACCGCCCCATGTCGAAATGAAATGAATTTGAAATCACACACGCTTACCTTCAGTGAACAGCATAGAATGGCATCCTGATGATGCCACAGATGCTTCAGCATCATGTCACCAACAAGGGAATCTGATCTCAGCAAGTCGGACCCCAAATAGTAACTGATTTTGGAAAAAACATAGGAAAAGAAACATATTAAACATGCTTTTAATTTAAAGGAAAATGAACTATAATAACTTGACCAAATTGTTATTGAATTATATAATTCTCAACCAGTCAGACTTGTGATAACATGCATGTATTAACTTCTAAGACAGAACTGCCAAACATCGAGATAAGTAGGCATGCCTGTAGCTTTGGCAGATCCAGTGAGCGAGCGTTACAGCCTCTGGAGAACCAGGAGAAAGTTTTGCTCCGACAGCTGGGTTTATACCAGATGGAGATATAGCCATGGCAACCCTCTGCACAGAGGAAATCACACTACGGACGTATTGACGTGCCATGACTGCAACATTATCTTGCAAACTGCTGTCAAATGGGAACTGGAAAGCAATAGTCAACACTGATCGAGTGTTGTGACTTGACGCGTCTGCACCTTGAGTTGTTGCTGGGCTCACTTCAAAACCAGATGTCAAATCCAGGGTCCGATTTGTAGCCACTGTATCCTTTTTATCACCCTAAGACAAGAATATAGATTGTTACAGCAGGGAAACACAGACATAAACAACAGTAGGTTCATTCTAACTTAAAAAGTAGCAGAGAAATATATCCGTGTTATTAGAGGGCACATGAAATTCAGTGATACGAACTTTCAAGTACATGTGCTCACAAGCTTGAGTGAAGATGAAAAGTGCTAAAAAATAAAAATAGGGATTATTGAAATTAAAATATAGAGGAACAAAACTTAACTGGTTTTGAATCCAGTGGGATGATGCGGAAACCAGAAGGAACCAATGGAGCATCATCCGGGAACATTTCATCAATTGGAGCAAATATGAGCTCAGAACAAGCACCCACAGCATGCTCATCAATCCCACTACAAATCTGCAAAAAAATCATAAGAACATACTTATATTAATTATATTTGTTAATGTATAAATCATTTAAGTATTTAACAGCATAGAAAAGAACTACAATGAAACGAATGCTAAGAATGAAGGCAGAAGAGAGCCCAAAACCCATTGAAAGGCATGCATATATTTAAAAGGCAAAGATTTCAAGTAGCATTTTAACACTTAACAAGTAAACAGCAATGTAAAAATCTTAATCTAAGACTGAGATCTGTCTTAATGGTATTGTTCAAAATCAGAGGTTTTGCAAGACAATGACATTCACACTTGTACCAAAAAAAAAAAAAAAAAGGACGCAATTTTGTACCAACAATGACATTCACACTTGATGTGATTCAGCTTATGCAAAAAAGAATTTAATAAAGATATACAGATACTGCTCAACATTCCAATAAAAGACAGAGGCATCGGCCGTCACCTGTAAGAGATGAATGTCCCTAGAAACAAAAGCATCTTCTTGAGCAAGAGAGTGGCCTTCAAGTCTAATAACTTCAAGCATCTGTAGTGAAAACACAAACATTCTCAGTAATGTTGCTTGCAAGTACAAATTTCCAATATTATTGACATACTCAATAACATGTACACATAAAAATGTCAAACAGATATTGGCTCAATGCAAATAAGCATCCTCCATCCACTTTTTAAAAGAATGCAAACCTACCTCTTCATGTTCAATGGTATGACCAAGAGGCATGATTATTTGACTGCCAGTGAATCTTGTAGGCCTCATCCCTGGATAGGCATAGGTGCCAGCTTTCAATGATGCAGCAGCATAAGCATCAACATTGAAATCAGCCCACTCTGAGCGGTGCTCCCTCAGAAAACGAACCAAAACTGCAGGAGGGACATTCTGCACATAATTGTCAACCATAAGTTGTCGCATAACATTGAAAATGGTAAATGTTAGCCAACTAAAATTTTAAATTAAAGAATCATAAATCCACTTGATGCTAGGATCATGTTCCATATTTAGGAATGTATCAAAGAAATCCCATATTTAGGAATGTATCAAAGGAGTCTATTTTGACCAAGATATTTTTTTTTTCACAGATCAAACCTATCAATGTCATGTTATAATTGTTAACAACTACCAAGCAATGCAAACAACAAATTAGTTAGTAAAAGGAAAAGCAGCAACTACAAAGTTAATTACACAACATGGCCTTCTCTTCTTTCAATTCATTAAAAATATCACAACATTGGGTTCTCAAGACTTACTTGAAGAAGCATAGAAGCTTTTGCACAGAGAATTCCTCCGAGGAACGTAAGGGAACTCGCTGGATTAGAAGTGCCACTCAAATTCTTGGTTGAATTAACGGCAATAATTACATCCTCAGCACCATCACAATTCAGTACAGTCCACCCATCATCATTGAATCCATTTACAGCATCATTGAAGCCTCTGCAAGTCAAATACATCAATTTTTTGGCCAAAAACTAGTTGAATTGGAGATGATATCATAAGAATCAATATTCTAGAGCTGCAAACTGAAATGACCTTCAACAAAACAAATTGTTTCATGTGGCTACCTGCTTAATCTTTGGCTGAAAGTTCGCAGAACAGCAGGCTGCCTACCCAATCCATAAACCACTTCACCACTTGTTTCCTGAGCTATTTGCCTGATATAGCGAAGTGCCTATCACAAAAGCCATTATTAAATCAATACCTATCTTATTAGAGAAAGGCATAAAACATGGGAATCACATGAATTGAAGGTAGATCCAGAAAACCTGCCAAGTTCTTGTAGAACTTGAAATGAAGAATTAAAAAAACAGAAGGGAAAAAGAGATGTGTAGATATCAGAATATTTTAGTGCAAAAGACCACTCAAACATTAAATGATATAATACTGGATTTGCTCAAGGATTGTGGTTCAGTTTGCACATTGTTCACAATAACACTAGTGAGTCAACCAGATTTTGATATAAATCCCTATTTTATGAATTCAACAATAATGAACTTACCGCAATTGTCATTTTCTGAGCTATCACCTTTGATGATTCATAAAGTGGCCGCAACACTTCAGGCACACTCCATGCCTAAAAGAAAACAATAAGCAAATTAATGTACACAGAAAAAAAAAATACATTAGCTTAGTGTGATGAAATCAAACCTCAAGATTTAGGTGGTCTACTATGTGAATAATTGACCCTCCGCCCTCACATGGTCGAATCAAGTAGCCACTAGGGAGCGTTTCAGCCCTTACAAATTGAGCAGCAGCAGCTGGATTAGGGCCCGAGCCAGAACCAGAAAGGGACCTCTCACAAACCTTCAAAAGTGGAATCAGAAGAAGACATGTAAGTCCAAAGGACATCCCTTCAAAGAAGAATTTATAGAAACCACAATGCAATACAGTCTTACATATAAACTCAACACATCTATTTCATGCATCACATGACCAAACATACTCACCACTAGACTGCCATTTTCCAAACTTGTTGTGTATCTCAGAGTCCAGAAATCCCGGGCAGGAGCCAGTGTTGTTGGAGCATATGTCTGCAGAAATTTTGAAGTATATTCACAGAAGTGACAAAAAACAATAACAAACAAAGATGCATTAAATTTGAGACTCACCTGTGTGTAAACAAGTTCAATGGTTCCCCCATTTCCAGCAGGAAACATAGTGAAAACTTCTAGGCTCCGACAGTCCCGAAACCAAGATGGACGATCTTTAAGGATCTCTGCAATCTATTGAAAATAGCGCATTTAGAAACTCAAACTCCAAACAGTTTACAGACACTGACTGAAATATCAAGTGACAAGAAAAGAAAACCATACTTTTACTTGGTCAATTTACCTTTGTAGGTTCTAAACTAACAAGACCACAGGCTCGAGCTGCCACTCCACTGCAACTTTGTGAAATGGCAAAGATCCCAACCGAATCCGGACCAGGCTGGCAAAAAGAACTATTTTTAGATGAAGAGGTAATTGGCGAGTTCAGTAAATTGAATAACAGCACAGAATCACAATGAAATTCACAATAAGTACCCTCTAGATGCCAAAGGTCACTAAATTATTAAGCAATACTATTGCAAGAAACAGAAGGAAAAAAAAACCTTCATCCCAGGCATCTGGACCCAATCTACAGCAGTTCCCGTAGCCTTTGAAAGGAACTCTGTCAAGGTCTCCTCCGCAATTGATAGGAGTCTGAAAGGATCACAATAGAAGAAATAATTGAGCAAAGCTTCATCACACAAAATGCAGAAAGTTCAATTCAAGATGCTCAAAATTACCCAGCAGGGTTATTAGCATCTCTCATGGTCTGCTGAGGAGTAGTAACCACCGAATCACAACTAGCATCAGTAGTTGCTGCTGGTGTCTGCAGGAATAACAATTGAGTCAATAACAACCCAAACAACCATCAAAACTTGTATAGTAACAGCTGCAACATCCATCAAAATCAACACAAGACCAACATGCAAGAATACAGAAAACAGATCGGTTCTTCTCTCATCTTTTCTTCCGAAGGCCCCCAACAAAGTGAAGAATTGACGATCAGAAGCAGAAAAGCTGACATGATTTACAACAAGGGTGGTCTCCCCACACACTTACAGTATGCAATTGCTGCCTCATGTAACCATTTTCACACACAAGCTGTGACACCTGCTTCTGCAACCGATCATTCTCCTCCATCAACAACTTGTTCATTGCCGTGAGTTTGCGGTTCACAGTCTGAAGCCGTGAAGCCTCTTTTCTCTGCTTCTCCCTGCACCTGCACACCATCCAAAGCCACACATCTCAGAACCACTTTGAGAAAATGACCTCATACGAGTGTGTGATTCATTGGCTAGTCTTACCTGCGGTTCTGGAACCAAACCTTGATTTGCTTAGGCTCGATGTTGGAGAGAATGGGGCACTCTCTGATCAATTGCTGCCTCCTCAAAGAACTAGGCTTAGGGCACTCAGCATAGACCCTTTCAAGAGCCTCAACTTGCTCAGCAGTGTACCTCACATACTTGCCAGAATCTAGATGCTTGTCAATGCTCCCACTGCTGCTACTCTCTCTGTGTTGAGCCACAGCCATGGCCATAATGAAAAGCAAGGTGGGTGGTGGGTGGTGGGTGGTGGGTGATGTTGGTACTAGCAAAGGGGCATAAGAAAACTGAAACGTTGAAGAGGGGAAGAAGTAGTGTGTGTATACTTGTGCAACCACCGTTATTGGTTCCTTCTTTACCGTGGAACCAGCTAAGATAATAAAAAATAAAAGGAAAGAGGGATAAAAAAACTGTCTTTCATTGAAATTGCAGGGAATGCTCCAAAGTGGAAACAGGAAACGCTCGTTTGTTTTCCCAGGTAAGAGTAGAGAACCCCCCCACCCCACTTCAGTGTCCCCTCTTTTTGTTGAGTTGCAGAGAGAAAGATTTGAGTTTGAGCTGAAATTGCGGGGTTTTGTTGAGGGAAAAAAAGAAAGGAAGGGGCTTGAAGAAGAAGGAAGGAATAGTAAAGAAACCCTAACCTAACTAAGCATGGTGGTAATAGGTGAGGAAGGTGAGTGAAGGAGTGAGTGAGTGAGTGAGTGAGTGAGTGAGGGAATAAAGTGAGTGAGAAATTGTGAGTTGAGGTTTCAGCACGAAGATCGAGAAACATGGGAGGTTCTCGTTTTTCTTTTCGTTTTCCTTTTGTTTATAATTTTCGGCGCATTTACGTCCTTGTCCCTGTTCCTGTTGTTCCTTTGATTTGACACGTGGGACCCACACTCTCACCAACTCTTTTCTCATTGTCAATTCCCGACCATCCAATTATTATTATTACACAAAATACATAATTAATCCCAATTACCTTTTTCTATATTTCATGCTTTGAATTCTTTCTACTAATAAATTTAAAACCTTTCTTTTTCACAATTTTAATGACTATTTAATATATTAATTTAATAAAATATTAATTCTTATTCTATATCCTTGTTACTGGCTTATAAACAAATTTTACTAAATCTTCTCTATAAATCCGATATAAGACAATAATAGAATTTCAAAAAGATAAAAAAAAAAAAAAACTTTAATGCATCGTGGCATTCTTATTTATTTAACGTAGAAAATAGACTAACAATTAAGAGAAAATATAAAATTTTGACACCAATAATTAAGAAAAATTAATATAATCTTAAACAAATTGTTTTAAATACTATTGTTATAATTATCTTATTAATACTTAACAGAAATCTTTTGAATATTATCTTCATAGTAATTTAATTCATTCAAAATAATATAACAAAATAATATGCATTTATCATTTTACATTTTAATATGAAATTAATTAATTAATTATAGTCAAAATTTCTAAAAGACATTACATTTCCAATTCCTAATTTTTTTTAATTAATATTATAATACAAAATTATTATCTATATATAGCTAATTTCCAAAAATAAATATTAATTTTTTTACCATTTTAATTTATTGGAATGAAATCAGTGAAACAATAAATATAATTTTGACTCGTAAATTAATCATATAACCTAAATTTAATTCCTTTAGGACCTATATGAAGTAGTGCTGAGTTCTTAATCTTTAGTTTTCAAATCATAATTTTAAAATAAAATATATTTTATGAGTAAGAAATATAATAATTATAATATATATATATATATATAATTGTTAACTTTCATAATAATTACTTTAAAAGTGGTGTCAAAACTTAATTTTTAATTTGTCAATGATGGAAAATATTACATTAATAGTGTCTATCTATTAAATTGATCTTAAATCTAATTATTATTTTTGCTAAACAAAAACTTAAAAATACCTGATTTCTGAAAGAATTACTATTACTGTCAATAATTTTTTTTCCAAAATAAAATTAAAAGATTGATAGTAACTTTTTTCTAAAACTAAAAACAAATATTGTTATTCTGGTAATTTTTTTCTTTGTTTTATATTCTCTAAAATTTGAAACCATTATTTTTAATTTTATATAATAAGTAAATTTTAATTTTGATCTTTAATCTCTCTAAAATTTAAAATCATAAATTTTGATCTATAATTTAATTTTAAGAAAGATAAATAATAATTATTTTAGACACATAAAAAAAGAGTGTTACATGATGATAACATTGGTTTTAAGAAAGATAAAACATTATTTTCATCATTTTTACTTAAAATATGATAACATTTTTTAAATTACAATATTACTTGAATATTGTTTTTTTTGTCTATTTTTATTCATCTTATTTTTTACTTTCCTGCCAAACCCACCCTTAATTTGGTTTACAATTTCTTCACCTCTCATACTATAATTCAAATGTTAATTCTTGTAAAATCATTGAATACTTGTCCATTTATTATTATTTATTTTTTCTTTAAATATGTTTTTTTTAAATAATTTTACTCGAGACACGACTAAATATTAAATACAAACAGTTATTTATAATAAAAGAGTTGAATGTTTATTATTAGTTTCTTCATAGTTGTTGGTAGCATAATGACGCTATTTATACTATTAAGTATTAACTTTACTAATCCTTTAAAGGTCAACCTAATTAATAAATATCGAAATAGTATGTATGAAATTATAAGTTTGAACTCCAAATTATTGTGCACCCAAAAACATTACTAATCTTTATTATTGATAACATGACATAAGCTTATTACTCCTAAACTTCAATCACCGTCAAATAAGGTTTAATTATCATAAATATATTAAAATGACATTGTTGTCGTTGATCATATAAGACACTGAACAACTTATTGGGTGAAGATGAATTTGAGGGAAATTAATTAAGGATAAAGAAAAATGTAGGAAAATAGTGAGGGATCCACGTATTTTTATTTTTCTACAAAATTGCAGAAATAAACAATACTTTAACTATATGAGATACGTATCGTAGTGGCTGAAAACAGTCATGGCATTTTTTGTTTACAATTTTTGAGGTTTTATAACAATTTTAATTTGTCATAAACAAAAAAAAAACACAATTTTGAAAAATTAAAATCGATCATTATTATTTTTATTTCTCTCTGACCACGCAATCAAAAGACTATTTATATTTTTTAATTTACTGTGATCTACTTTTTTTTCTTCTCATTTTCATTCATCCCATTTCCTTCGTTCTTCCCAGACACACCATTTACTTAATTACTCACCCAATAGCAACAAGATCATGACTCATAGGTATATGTATCCAAAGAATAAAACACAAGAAATAAAAATAATATATATTTTTAAGTCTTGAAATTTAAAAAAGAAATAATGTTTTCAGAAAAACTATAAGAAAAAAAAAACCAAACAGACCATATATTTATATTTTTCTAATATTTTGCTAACTTACTGCCCAATCTCTTATATTGATCTCTAAAATAATTTATTACCTATTAATGTGTTTGGAAGAACTCATTTAAAGTTTAATTGGGTTTCACTTTCAATATAAGCACTTGTATAAATATATAACACTGGTATAAAAATATTTTATGATGCACTGGTAAATTTCTTGGAACTTTTGAACCAACTCAATTATAGTTTACATGCAGTTAGCTTAATCACATTTTTTAATTAGAAAAGCAACTTATATATAAGTATTTATATGACAAGCATTCATTTAATAAGTATTCAATTATTATTTAAGTAGCTTTTTTTACACTACTAACGATATATAATGTCATTCATCATCTTTGTGTATAATATTAGTGTTCATGAAAAGATTATTATTGACAAGAAAGATGTTTGAAACTTTAAACTTTAAAGCATATTCGTTGTACTAAACCAATCAACACTTTCCGTCCACAGTTGTCTTATACATTTCTTAATTATTACCTTAGCTGCAAGGATAACGGATTATGTGTTTATTCTTCATTACATTACAAATGCAAATCATGGTCAATCTTGGAACTTTGGGGTCAATTCAATCGACATATTTATGTACCAAAACTATTTTTAATCGTCACTCGGAATGAAAACAGATGAATATAAAGTTATTTGGAGATAATGGAAATGGCAGTGTGGAGATTCTTCAGGTAAGGAAAGGACAAATTCATATTACAAAATATGAGGGACCATTCTTCCACTTCAAGAATACCAATAAAATAATACACCCTAAAAATTTATAGGTTTTTCGATTTTTACACGAATGAATCAACATGGTTAACAGAAACCAGCAATGAGATCAGTTGACATGAGATTTCTGAACTTAGAGATCTCGATTTCTAGCAACATAAAAAAATTGCATATAAAAAATAACAATTTTAAGTATCTAGAAAGATTGTGTCTTTTATATGTATTAAGTTAATTACTAAAGTTTTTTTACACTAACAATCAATTATATATTTTAATTATGTCATGTCATTATAAATATATTTACTTTAAATAATGACATGGTATAATTAAAAGATATAATTAGTTTGCCAGTATAAAAAAAAACTTTACATTAACAGTATATAAATGATTAATTCATATACATTTGTATAAAAAAACATTTGTTAGTAAATATTATTAAAAAAAATAGTATCTTGAATCAAATCTAATTCCCAACCAAATTGATTATTGTACATTGTATATTATAGTTTTGTACTTATTTTTTAAATGAAGTTGGCACTATATTATAGTTATGAATAATCTTCCGGCGCCGACCACACCATCGGCGCACGTTAGTTATGATCGGTGAGATTTTGAGATTTATTTTTTAATTGATTGAATATCCACCAATAAAAGTAGGTGTGTAGGTATTATTATATATAAAAAAGGAAATAGAAAAATAATTAATGACGTGTCATTTATATGTTTAGGGTGCTTTTGGCATGCGCGAAAAGTAATGTCACGTGCTTCCCATAAATTGAATACTGAGATACAGCATATATAATTATAGGTATCGTAGATTAAGACTAGTTATTATTTGTTGTTTCCTCATTATACTCAATAATTAATCCAACTTTTCTATTATTGCATCACAAGCAACAACCACCATAACATAAAAATTTTGCCTTTCAACACTTCAAGTCCAAATTAATCTTTTGGATACAATGATTTTATATTGTGCCACCCTCATTAAATATTTGTTGCTGTCAATATGATCCTCTACATGCAGATCTACCTCATAAAACTCCCTACACTTGCAAAAATAATCAAAATAAAAATGGTGAATACTTCAATCAGTTATGTGTTTAAAAATAATAGATTAATGTATCAAATCAAAATCATGCATGTAGTTGAAATGAAAAGGTCAAAGCTTTTTTATTTAAAAAAAAGAAAATATAGAAAATGCACTAGTAATTAAAGTGAAAATCACCTCAGAATGGTGTGCACATATGTACAAGGCAATTAATTCGGTGGTGGTGAATGAATTGACACCATATAAAAACACTTTACATTAGAAACACAAAAGAACAAATATGGGTGTCAAAGGGAGGGTTTGAAAATGTACAAAATGACAGAAAGAGAGAAATTTGGAGAGTTAAATACAAAAAAGAAAATATATAGAGAGAGTCAAAGATGTTTGTTTGGATATGATAAGCTTAGATGGAAGAGCGAAGTTTGAAAAAAGAGAAGATGGATTTTTGCAATCTGCTCCATACGACTTTGCGTTAATTCCATTGGAAGCATGCCAATGGCAAAAACCCATGTGGAAAAAATAGGAAGCAAAAGGTCGAAGAAATTGACTTGCAACA